TCGCAATCCAAAACCTTCTAGGGAACCTCAGCCCGCCTCTTTCACCATCTTAGAAGTCGATTTGTGATATCGCTTCAGTAAGTACATTCTGTTCAGGCGCTTAGGCCTCTCTTCTAATGGTCACGGTATACTTATTGGAATCAGTGGCGTGTGTATCCACCTGAATGCAGCAGCGCATCTCGCCGAATCTCAATGCTATCGTATGTAAAACGCGGCCGTTGACTTCGACTACCCCTCAATCACAAGTCAGCCGGCAGCCGGCACAGTGTCGATGGCCATGCTCTAATCGTGAAGCTATAGCGGCGCGAGCAGCCCCAGGAACAGCTCTCGTGTACGGATACTCAAGGCACCGCAATAGGACATAAACCGAGAGCTGCTACCCATCTATGATTGGCTTTGCATTATCACGACTTCGCAGGACGTGTGACTGTTTGGCAATATTATTCGCTAATCAAGGTTCGATATGGCGGCTCAAAATCGCCATCGAGCTTCGTACAGTCTGGACTGTTCAGTATCGGAACTAAGGGTCCTATACGCGGGTGGTTTCCAAGGGATCGGATTACATCCCTTGATAGTTGTTTCCGAAATGCTCGCTAGATCCTTTCTCTTCTTGAAAGGACGAACAAGCGGGGGAGGGGCTGAGGCTCGGAGCTTCAAATCTGCAGCCACTTCCCAAGCTGGAGGAAGCCGACAAGGTGAAACCAAGTATGCTTTGCAGTCTGCAAGCCTGCCCTGTTCGGAAGACAAATATTTTCCGTACGGAGATTTGTTCCTTGTCTTCCGTGATTCGCTCTGGCAAGAGCATACTCCATTTCTACCATCCGCTTTTACGTGAGTGGCCTCAATGCTGGCCTTTATTCAGTAACTGAGATTCAGTGTCAGGTTCATGATGTCCCTTGAGGTTTCTAGGGTTGGGGTTCGGCAATCTGTAACGTACAGCGATCATGTATTCTGAAGTCACTTGTATGATTCTTTTTTGTTAGTGGCCAACTAAGATCCTGTCTAATTTTTAACTTGCGCACCTGGTTTGGCAACCATGATGCTTATACGGGCTGATTATCGATGAAGCCAGATTATTAGCCGTTGGAGATCCTCTTCTTCTCAATACATTAGTTGTGACTTAAGGCCCTTAGCAGAAAGCTTGCGTAGTTATCTGATGCTCTAACGTTTAGAGAACACTGGACGAGCACCCATCCACTTAGTTGGGATGCTGTGCCCTTTTTTCACGATCCTATTCGCCATACGCTTACACCAACCACTATACGAAGCTCTCCACTTGCCCGTTCAAGAGTCCTCATCAGTAAGTCTACCGCATTTTATAGCTCAACAAGGTACCCAAAGATGATTTGAGCTGAGGCTAAGAAGACCCCAAGACCTCCCATAGCCAATAGTGCTCATGCCCACGGCGAATGCTACATTTTTACCAGCTCGATCAACAGACCGAAGCTACGATGCAAGTTCTGAGCCCAGAACCTGGTCTCATCCTGCCTCTCCTTTTCATCTGTCTCGTCTTAGTGTGTATACTTTGCACTAGTTGCTTGATACTCGTCATCGTTGTTATCAGACTCAACATTCACGCCCAGCGAAGTCTACCAATCCAAGCTAAGGAGCAGAAGGATATTCCGAAGGGAAATATGAAGGAGAAAGTCAAAGAGGAGGTCGAAAAAAGTATAAAGAAGCTGACTGACCCCGTCCAAGACCTCTTTCATTCAGCACAAGATCATCTCAAGTATCCCAAGAACCCTTTCACACAACATCCAATCTCTCAATACTTCCATTCGGATCCTCCCTCAGTCAATATGTCTCATATCCAGGTAGCCTCTACCACTTCCCTCATGCTTCAACTGAAAGCCATATACTGACGCCTGGAAACTCAGAACATGGTCGCTGTTGCGCAGAATGACGGCAACACCATTCTGTTCCAAGTCAACAAGAATTACGAGATCATCTTCTATGAGAGTCGCACCCCCAGTGAAAGAATCCCCAGGAAGAAGTACGACATGAACACTCTCAAGATCAAAGGAAAGTCTATCAAGGTCAACCCTAAGCTGCCCATTATCTCAGCTGTCGCATTCACTCACCCCGAGTCTTGCGGCGGAAGAGCTCAGGTAAAAGCCGCTCCGTTACCTACACACACTTCTTTGCGGACCTTGCGACTAAAAGGTCCGAGTTTACTATGTCGACAGAGACAGTCTCTTCCTCCGTGAGATCATCCGTGTTGGTGACAAGGACGAGGATTGGAACGACGGTATGGATTTCAATGACAAGGACGATACTATTTGTGAAGTTAGCGGTCTGGCTGCCAACGTCTTCCAGTCGACTGGTGACAAGAAGAGCTTCCAGATCAAGGTCTACTATCAGCGTGACGGCGCGGATGAGTTTGCCGATGTTTCGTACAATGTCGTGGGTGTTACTGATGAGTGGAGCACTCGACCCAACGTCACCGAAGCCTAGATGTTAAACCCTTACCGGACCGTGCTGAGACTCGACTGTGATGCTGGGCATCGCGCTTGTTGTAACGCAGCGACAGTACATATTGGATCCGGGGGATGGTATCATACTTGTAGCTAGGATAGTTAAATCTGACCACTATTTGACTCCATTCAACGACTTTGAGTATTTCTTTAATGCTTTTGCGATAATGAATGTCACGAAACCTCAGTTCAGGGATGGGCATGATTCAGATCCCCAGAGCGTAACTAGATCATCAGTGCCGACTTCGTTTGGTGCACCACGTCTGTTTCTTGAACTATTTTCACCTCTCGTGAGTGGCAAGGCTGATGCTCTCGGTGTGTTATGGCTTCTTACTGATCAGTGATAGCCCCAAGATGCCGTCCAGTCTGCCCTATAGGGCTGCGGCATGGGTTTTCTGAGAATGCCGCAAACTGTGACGTCAGCATGGAGAACTGCACGCATGTACGTTAGTGACATGGGGAATCCGAAATGCCGCAATCACTCGGGACATTTGAAGTGATCGCTGGGCATGGATCTGAGAAGAGTGGCCATGTGTCGCGGCCGCCAATCGGCAGAGAGCCCGAAGCATCACTTTGATAGGGATATACGGGCCGACGGCGGTAGTTCATTGACAGGTCTTACTTGAATCGGCTCAGTTTCATGCCAAGGCCTGTTGTAAGATGGATCGAGCATATAATCGAATTTCACTAGGGATAGGTTGTCTGGATCTCCCAAATAATTGGCTGCAGGGACCTCGTTCCGTCGTTAATGACTGCCGGCAACGGGGCTTGAGCAATGTGTCCTCGGCGCGCTAATGCTGTAGAAATAGTTATATAACACCCACGGTGGCCCTCAATCCCTCCATCCTTTTCAAACTATCCATCCATCTTGAGCATGTTTGGTTTCAGATGGCGTCGATGCTCAAGATGCGAACTCTTGTGTAGTTCATTTCCCCAGAAACGTATATGCATCATACCAATACCATTCCCTCAACTTGCTCTCGGCCTCGCCGTTGATCATCACTACAGCACCCGAAGATATCGCCCATCACCGAGAATATGCCCTGAATCACTGATCAGAAAAGTTCTCTGTCATCAGCTGCGGTCATGCGGCGCCGCAAATCATCCACTTGCGGCGATCGGGCGGAACCGTGAGCGGAGGCTGCGGCGAGTGCGGCATCATGACCAAGGGTTTCGCTGCGGCGTAAGCATCCCGACTTTGAATAATCATGCGACAACATGACATGAGGAATCCGTCTCGTAGCGGCTTTGCCCGGTAAAATTTGCAGACTTGACGCCTTTATATAAACATGCTTGCCAGGAGTCTGTAGTGGGACATATCATCCATACATCATACACACATTACATTAACACCCATTCAAGCTTATCCTTATCTCACTTATCGCTTATCGCTATCACCATCACCAATCATGAAGATTCTCACCAAGCAAGAAGAAGAGGCCCACTACGCTGAAGTCGTCAAGGGCGGCCTCATCGGCGGAACACTCTTCCTCGGCCTCGGTCTTGGAGGCGTTTACTACGCATCAAAACGCTACCCAACCTTCCGAGGCCTGACCCTCCCCTTCAGAGCATTCCTCGTCACATCAACGGGTACTTTCGGCGCCATCGTCAATGCAGAGCGATGGAGTATCGCATATCAGATCGCCCAAGATCCCAAGCGCAATTACCAAGATCAAGCAGCGCGCACAGCACAGCTCATCCGAGAAAATGAGTCAGCGTATGAGCGTTTCAAGTCATATGCAAAGGAGAACCGGTATCAAATTGTTTTCGCCTCGTGGTTGGCGTCAATGGGTATCGCGTTTGCGATTGTTAGCCGACAGCCTATGAACACAGCGAACAAGGTTGTGCAAGCTCGTGTTTATGCGCAGGGTTTGACCTTGGCTGTGTTGTTGGTGTCTGCGATTTTTGAGGTCAACGATCTCAAGAACGGAGACAGCAGATGGCAGACGGTTCGGTACGTGGACCCCAATGATCCTACAAAGATCATTGAGAAGAAGGTTCACAAGGAGGAGTATGAGGGTCAAGACCTCTGGAAGGGTAAGTTGCTTGATCCAATCAATCTTGAGCTTTGCTAACAATTGACAGATATGGTCGCTGCTGAGGAGCGAAGACTTGCTGCGAAGAAGCAGGCTGCTGAACATTAAGTGAGACCAACATCAATCAAGGTCGCTAATTTGTATTAAAATTGCATTGGGTGGTTTGGGAGTGAGATATCAGGTCGGGTTATAAATCGAACGGCGCATTTTCTTTTGTATAGATGAAGCATTAACATGGACGTGGAATCGAAATACCAGAATGACAACTTACTACTCTTACTGCAATTAAATGGTGGTGATTCTTGAGGCTGCACCACGACAAGTACTTCTGAGGTTCAACTTGAATCATGAAGCAATCGATGCCTGTCAACGATATCAGACAGCAAAGTTGAGGTTGACAATCTCATCGTTTCAAAGTCACATTCACATGCAATCGCAACAGACACATAATTGAAACCATTAAACATTCGCATTACATTAAATACTATCATCAATCTTCCTTATGCGAAGGATTATATCCCCATAATCTCTTCCTCTCAGGTCCCCACCACTTAGACACAGCATCCGCCTCAGCAGCCCATTTCGAAGCCTCCTCCCCAAACTTACTCCGAACAGCACGCGTCAACTGCTCAAGCGTCCACTTCTCAAGCGGCTTCTTCTCTAACGGATCGTTCTTAAGATCCGTGAATCTATATTGTGTAGAGTCATCAAGCGGAATGACAATTCGCCACGGCGCATCTGCAGATGTCATCGACAACATGCTAGCTCCTCCATTGATGATGCCAAAGTTCCAGGCGCGGCGGCCGTTATGCTTTGTTTTGTAGGGGCGGATAAGGGACTGGCCCTCGTAATCGTGGATGAGGTCCTCAGCGGCGTTTTGGTCCTTTTCGTTGAGGGAGCCTGTGTTGATGAGAAGGTCGAGGATGGTGGGGAGGATGGAGAGAGATGTTGCGTTGGCGTTGTATTGAACGCGGGGGATGTGAGGATGGCGGAATGTGATGGGGACGCGGAAGTTGCTAACGTGGCCGTTCTCGTAGGTTCCTGTCTTGGACTTTTGATCCTCCTTGAAAGCCTGTCCATGATCGCCAACAAAGACCACCAATGTCTCATTTGTAAGACCGTGGTTATCGAATGTCTGAAGTAACTCGCCTAGCCAGGCGTCGGTGAATCGCATGGCGTTGAGATAGTCGTTGAACTCCGAGTGCCAGCCCATCTTGCCCTCGGTGTTGAGAAAGTCTGTCTTCTCGAATGATTTCGGTACGCCCCAAGGATGATGTGTCGTGCTGGTGAAGTGAGAAAAGAACATACGCTTGCCCTTCTCCTTGACCTCCTTCAGGTAATCCTCAATGTGACCCTTGAGCGTCGTCTCAGGGAAACCGAAGTAATTAATCTCCTCGAGTTCTTCGCCCTTCTTGCGATCATCTTCCAGACGGCCTCGTGTAACGATATGCTCAAAACCGATCTTGTCGTCAAACTTATCCTGACGATCATAACCATCGGTGATAGACTGGAAGAAGGCGGGGTACCACTGTTGCTCTAAGAAATCTTCCGAGTTCGACTTCCATTTCGACTTCGACTTTGACTTCTTATCATCCTTGAGCTTATTGAAGAGGTTGAACACCTGGGGAATACAAGCTTGGTACGCATCTGTCTCCGACTCCTCGAAGCCGTCGACAGGCATGGACCAAGCGCCACAGTGGATCGCAGCCATGCTCTTGAACGACAGCGAAGACGTTGTGAAACCGCCTACAACGTTGATGCCTCCGTACCCCTCCTGCGCTGTATCGTTCCACTGCGGGATAGCCACGTGTTCAAAATCCGAGCCATCCTTTCTCTTCCAGTTTCCTGACTTGCCGGTGAGTCTCTCGGCGACTGGGCTCATGCGAGAGAGCTTCTCGTTGATCTCGTCAATGTCTTCGCCCTTGTGCGACTTGACCATGAGCTTGTGATAGTCGGAGCCCTGCTGCAGAGGGAAGAGTTCCTCGCGGTAGCTCTCCATCATGATTAGTGCCACGTGCTTGATCTTGACGTCGCCGCCCTTGAGGGTGTCGCGGATAACATCAATGATGTCGGTGTCGAGGTTGGAGATCTTGAGAGGGTCGAGAACGGGGTTGTAGAAGGTGCCGTCGGCTTTTGGGACTTCGCAGGCATTGCTGGGGCTTGCTGCAGGTTCCTCATCCGCGGTCTTGTTGGGCTCGATAAGCCACTTGTTGAAGCCGGCGGGGACGTCGCTGGGTAGCCATTCGGGGATGGTGTTTCTGTACTTTTGTGCAGCCGCGCCGTCGTTACCAGGTGTCCATCCGGGGAAGCGTCCATTGGGCTCCTCCCAGTTATCGGGAGTGATGAGATCAGGGAGAGGCCATCCGCCTTCGACATTGTTACACAGCTTGGCCGGAGACTTGAACATTTCTAGCATAGCGGCGGGGAGAGTCATGGACATCATGGTGTATGGGGCGGCAGGTCGTAGAGTCGTCGTAAGGAAGAGGAAGACAGAAATGATGGCGAGGATAATCCATGTTCGAGGTCTTGTTCGATGTTCTTCGTGAGTATCGGGAATGAGTCGTGCACCTTCTTTGCCGCCTTCGAGGTCTTCGTCGAGTTCGCTGTCGGAGTCATAAGCTAGTGACTGAGGGGATCGACCGTTTCTGTGTCGGAACCACTGCCAAGCTGAATTATTGTTAGTAATAATTGACGATGATTGAGAGAGCGATGTACCATGTACAACAGGCATTCCAACCGTTGCAATTAATGAACCGACAGCCCTGTAGAGAAACCACTTGGCAACCCAAGCCACGACGACGATGAGAGCTCCCGCCGCAAGGACAGAGTTAAGCCCACTAAGAAGAATCTTCATTCCATCTTTATCGCCAGCGTAGCTCAACGCCTCAGACCATTTAACCTCGTTGCCCGTCGAATAAAAGAAGCCCAGTTGTGAAGCCGATGCGCCGAGAAGAATAAATCTGCATTTTGTTAGAGATGCCCCAATTGAAAGGTGACGAGAGGGACATACGAGAATATGCAGCCCAATACACAAGCCCCAACAGAGAAAACGCCCTTTTGCTGCCGCAGCGCCAGGCGCGACAGGAGAATGACTAAAACATCAGGAAGTAAAAGCGAGGGCAGAAAAAGGACGAAGGCGCCGGGAGAGATTGTCTTGGCGTGGATGGAAAGGTGGACCAGTTTAGTAAACGTCAATGAAACAAATATCGTCGAAAAACAAAAGGGAACGAGTGTCGCAAACATGATGATTTGCTCTCTAATGAGTTGGAGCAAAAAACAGAATTAAGAAAAAATAGATGAATATTCCATGGAAAGAGGTTCGAGAAAGAGGACGAGAGAGGAGAAAAAAAGGGAGCTTCAAGAAGCTGAGCAGAAAAGGATCCGAGGTTGATTAAAAAAAGGATCACGGTCGTGTCGTCGTAAAATCTTACATTGGAGGACCCCCCCCTAACTAAAAAAAGGTCACTAAAACATCAAACTAAATGGGGAATTAACAGTAAAAACAGCAACTGCTCGCGTGTTGTGTGTGCCACAGGCTCAGCCCAGATTAAATCTGCTACGTAACATGGAATAACCATGACTTGTTCATTAGCTGAATACGGACAATTTGCACATCCTCGACTGCCCAACCCCTGGTGTCGGTCACTTCTGCATTGGATCCATCCATGTAGGGCTAGACGATGGGGTGTATGGCCACTAAAAACTCGTTGGCCAGTGGCGGTTTGAAGGCTCGTATTCTCTCATCTGCCAATTCAATCTGACTAAACGGCTCCGACTAACCGAACGCTCCTCTGCGTGTGATTGGTCAACGACGGGGAGGATGCAGAGTAAGATTAAACAGCACGGCACAGATTCGTCGCCAAGCTAAACAGATTCGAGCCGGTGCTGGAAGACGAGTTACGATTCAGCGAGTAACAAGGTCACGCGACAATGCAAGGAATGGGCTATTTTGTCTGAGCGCTTGCTTTTTTGCGATCAATTTTGAGGTCATGGAAAGGAGAAGGTTAACGCTCGTTTGATGATGAGGGGCCGGCATGGCTTGTGCGAGGCGTCGATAGTGTACGGCCCAACAAGTCTCCTTGCTGACGGCATGCATGTTGTTCAACAACAAAATCAATCAGCACATGCAGAAAAAAACAAATGCATTTCTCTGCATGAGGACTTGAAATTGGTTGCAACACCGAGTCTCATTCTCTCAGCTTCGTCCCCAGAAAAAAAGAAACCTTGCATGACCCGGGCAAAAAAGTCCCCCCTCCCCCCCTTTATTCCCAGGCTTAAGAGCAGAAAAAAAAGCCGCTTAGCCGACTCTTCCCATTTTTAGCTTCCCCCTTGAACCAGTGTTAATGGTTCGACCATGGAACAAGTTAATTTCACGCTAGGCTGCGCCATTATTCCCTTTCTCCAGGCGGAAACGCTGCGCTTTTCCTGCTCCTCTTACCAAAATATTACACCATGACTGCTTTAGTGCGCAAGGCGCCTTGGTTATTTCTTGGCTTACCCCTGAGTATAGTCGTCGATCGATCTCTTGGCGAGCGTGGAGAAATTGTTTTGGTCTGGACAATGGCCTTGTTGGCCCCATGCAAGGGGAGGGGGGATCTCTCAGCTGTTGTCGCGTGTCTCTTGTGTTTGGTGGGTTCGTAAGAAGAGGGCCCCTTTGCTTTGCTCTGGTCTTGAAATGAGGTTTCACTTTGCCCTTGAAGAATGGATTTGCTGCAGGGTTGACACTGACTGACGCCTCGAAAGGCAGGCCATTAAGCTCGACCCGCGGGCTCCATGAGAATCTGCCTACCTTACCCACTAAACTTCTCCATTTGCTGACTGTTACAGCTGCCAGCCAGCGACGCCTCTGCCTGAAGTTTCACGCTGAGTATCCAGAGTGACCAGTAAAAGCTTAAATATTCATCAGCACAATGACGCGCCACAGATAAAATACTGAAAGAGTTACTATGATCTGATTCTGGCTGACGGAGAATCAGGCACCAACAGGTCTCTGTGTGGCTTTTTGCACAAGGAAATACGTAAGCAAGGATGCAGATTATCCATACGAAGAAAGGAATTGAGCCGCCCTAGCCGAGGTGGTCAGAAACTGGCCCCAACATCTGACATTCCAATTCAGGATGCAATTCTTGATCCCCAATTTCTATGGCTGTCAAGCAAAGGACTTTTGCTCGCGTGACTACGCCGCTATGCATTATGTACTTTCCCCCCAATGATCGACGCTTTTGCACAAAAAATCAAGGAAACAGTTAATGAAATTCACAAATGTGGCTGGCTGCACGTTTACGTGTCAAGATTTCATCTCCAGGCCTACGGTACGAATCAAGGTTTACCGGCACTTCTGCCCAACGTCATTGCCTCTGTTCCCCGGATTTTTCCATGGTGATAGCCACAGTGGCGTCCGGTTACCCGGCACAACGGCCCAGCCACTGGAAGCTGGTTGCTGTACAAGATCTACGGGAGTGCTGTCAGATTGATTGACAGTTTTACTTGGTTTAAAAGTTTGTTTGAGATGGTGTTTGTTGCTATGTTGTTACGCGGATTTTCCCACTTTTCATGGCAGTGTTTATCGTCTGATTCTGCCTGAAGGATTCGGGAGCCTGGGAGGATTGGATCGTAATTCTGAGACATCTATTTTGAGATGTCGGTAGTGGAATTGGTTAGGGTCCGGACTACTCTCCCTTTCCGTGGTTCTGGAAGTTCCGTCAAGGGTTCAAGACATAGCGGACCATTCCGTGGAATTGCAAGTGACACCTTGGCATAAAGTTGTGTCATTTTGAAGGGTTCATTTCTAAGTTGGAACCGCGTCCAGTCATTTATTAGCTGAAGCTTACGGTCTCAGGTCAGATAGGCAAGTATAGCTGAGCGATTCGTCATTCCGTTGCGAAGCCGTCAATACTCGTCTAAGCGGCACTGTTCAGTAGCGTCTGAAGGTGCCGTATAACCTTATCTGAGGCCTTGAGGCTCCGCAATATTCCAGGGATACCTGTGTTGAGGCTCTATGGACCATAAGGGATAGCTTCTTGACGTCAGCTGTTGCCGGGCAGTACCCTATCCAGGTTTTTGATAGAATGGGAGAAGTGAAATTTTAGGCGATGATTCGACTAGATATCCAATATCCTTTACTTTTTTATTCACTGTTGGAGTAAACAAGCAACGCGCTTACTTGTTTCAATTAGTAAAGGCGTCTTTGGTGAGGTTTCACTCAGTCATTCAGAAACTTCGTTCTTCTAAATATCTGCGACAAGAGCGTCCTAACTCGCTATTCGTCATTCGCAGAAGCGACTTCATAATCGAAGGTTGAGAATCTCTCGCCAGTATGGCATCATGAGAAAGTGGAGATAGCAATAAAAATCATGCATTGTGTATGGCTCAATATGGTTGCATCACCAGTGAAATGTTACAATGGCGGGGTTGAAGAAACGTCAACACCCAAGATAAAGCCTTCATCGTCAATCAGTCTTGAAATTACCTCTCAACAAATCTCGTTGTAAAGAACATATCAATCGACAACATTAAAATGACCATTCAGAAAGTCGCAGTCGTTGGAGTGAGTTATTTACCCTAGAGAACCGCGGGCAGCGAACTAACTCCGCCAGGGCTCTGGTCTCATCGGATCAAAGATCGTGGACAGCCTCCTCAAAGCTGGCTTCGAAGTTACAGCCATCACCAGAAATGAGTCCGCTGCAACATTTCCCGACAAAGTGGTCGTGAAGCGTGTTGATCTCGCCTCAGTCGACTCGGTTAAGGAAGCTCTAGCTGGTCAAGATGCTGTGGTATCAGCCGCCGCAACTGCTGCTGCTGGAAGCCAGAAGGTCATTATAGATGCCGCTGTCGCAGCTCAAGTGCCGCGATTCATTCCATCAGAGTTCGGAATTCCATCTCGTCAGAATCGCGACACCAAGATCGGAAAGATTCTCGGTGCGAAGATCCAGAATACGGACTACTTGATTGAACTTGCTGAGAAGCATGATTGGTTCTCTTGGACTGGTCTTTCCAACGGATTATTCCTTGACTCGGTAGGTTATTTGGCTTTGAATGAGACGGCAGCGTTCTCTGACTTTGGCGTAGGGACTCAAAAGTGACAGGGGATTCATCAACATCAGAGACCGCAAGATTCGCATCACCGACTCAGGCAACGAACCCTACTCCACAACTTCACTCGCCTTCGTCGGCGAAGCTGTAGCCGCGATCCTAAAGAAGCCAGAAGAAACAAAGAACAAGTATCTCAACATTGCCGGTGTTACGACAACTCAGAATGAAGTTCTGAAGATTGCGGAGCAGGTGACTGGTGACAAGTTTGAGGTTTCTCATGTCACTGGCGCCGAGCAGGAGAAGATCGGAGACGAGAAGATTGCCAAAGGAGACTTTAGTGCCTTTGGTAACTATCTAGAGCAGTTCCTGTTTGCTGATGGTGCTGGCCACGCATTGAAGGGTGATGAGAATGCGATTGGGCTGCTTGGACTGAAGGAGGAGAATCTTGAGGAGGTTGTCAAGAGTGTCGTAGCTGAGATCAAGTAAAGCCGAGAGCGATTCAGATTTAAGTATCTAATTCGCGCACGACGGTTGAATATGAATTATATGAGAAATAATTGGTCTATTTGTAGCCAGATGCTTCGTTATGTCTATTTCTTAACAGAGGCGTCAAGAAAGCGAATCGCGTTTCTCAGGCTCTCAACGTTAGGAATGCTATCCGCCTCCGGCTTCTCAATATCGACGTTTCCAATTCTACTATCGAATCCATGTTCCGCAGCCTCCGGGAAGTCCTTGACCACCTCAACACCTGCCTCACGAAGCTTCTTCTCAGCCACGATACTGCAGTCAATCGTAACAGCAGAGTCATTAACGCCATGAAGCAGGAACGTGCGGGGAATCTTGGCAAGATCGCCGAAAGAAAGAGGGAATAACCGTCGGTGTTCTTCGGGGATGGCATCAATGCCCTTGCTGGCGATTTCACGGCTAAGACCTGCAACACCGGTCATGTAATCTGGGAAGAGGGCGTCGATATGAAGAGCTGAAGCAACTTGGAACCGCGGGTCTTGCTGGAAGTTCTCGGGGGGCGGATATCCAGAGATGGCCTTTCGATCATCGTTCTCTTTCGGCCTGGGAAACTGGTTCAACACCGAGGCGGTGTCGAAAGGCGGTGCACCCCAGATATTTGTACCGGGCGTCGTATATCTTGGGCCAGCTGCATCAAGCATTCCGTAGATGAGAAGCAGCGCATCTGGCTTTTGCTCTACAGCATTCGCAGTCGCCAGTGCAAGATAACCACCGGCACTGGACCCAGCCAGCAAGACAGGTCCAATAGGACGTCCAATGGCATCAGCCAGCGATGAGCGAACCCAGTTGTACGCATCGATAGAGTCATCAAGTGATGCATGAGCAGTAGACTCTGGGACAAGACGATAGTCAGGGCTCACGAAGATCCATTTCCGAGCGGTCACAGAGTTGAGACCCCAGTACGGAGCAAAGCTGTATCTGTCCCCGACGATCTGCGCACATGTTAATCAAGTTCACAACAAGCCGGACCAGACTTACGAGAAATCCGCCGTGGATGTGAATGAGAACAGTCGTCGGTGAATCATCGGCTTCCTCTGGGTACACGACATCAAGAACGATGTCGCCATCGGGGGTGGATTTGTACGGGATGGTCTTGTACGTGTAGCCTTTGAGGCTGGAGAAAAGAGATGTAGCCATTCTTGTGAGGTTCAGGAAGTGTTTTGAGGTATAGTCTGAGCAATTGATCGGTTATCAAGATATAGAGGTTTTAAATATCGATGGTGGGGGTGCTTCAGAAGATCGCGCGCGCTCGGGGAAGCTCGGTGTTCCCCCGCATCCCGATGTGTTGGATTACGTGACGGCCATCCCACTAGAAATCCCAGCGGCATGTCACTCACTGTCTAAGTAATTCAAGTAAGCCCAGCAAAGCTTATTACTAAATACCCTCTAAATCTCGTTGTGACTCATATTGCTTTTTCGCGTTTTAGTCTTGTTACGGAGGTTAGCGGACTTAAGATCCGAACCCTTTGCTTGTTGAGAACGTGAGATTGATACTGTCGGTATCATTCCGAGGACCTGGCTGGACTCGAAATACAACATGGTTCCCCAGACTTGTTGGCCAAGATTGCGAAAAATTCCTCCTGCATCGATAGGTGGCTTGAAGACCACAGAAGGTGAGATCTGGCAGGTTGAAATTTCTCAGACCGACAGTCAGGAATGAGCTTTAGGGGGGATATGGCTGAAATGCTGCGTCATATCAAGATCACATAAATTCGACGACACAAAGTGGCCCGTATCAGCCATTCTCGATATATATAATCTCGGAATTGGCTAGAAGACTAACAACCTCCAACTCCTCACAAGACGGACCCGCGAAAGCCAGGCGAGTGTATCGACAAGGAACCGACTCAGGTGAAGGAGTATCCTATCTCTGCCTTTCCAACTTCCTTCCCGCGGCAGAAGATTCTACATACCAGTACACCAACGTCGTCGTCACTGAGACGAATCGTTAAGGTGAGTAGCAGCTGATACCAGTGAATGCCATTGGCGTCTTGGATGGACTTGATCTTAGTCTTGTCAATACCAATATCATCAATGGTATACAAAACCTCGCCAACTTTCTCAATTCCTAGCCATCATTAGCTCTAAGGTTTCATATCTTGAGAATCATAACTCACGTTCGTTCTCGATGGTTTCAGGTGCCTCGTCCAAGCTACATGAGTAAAGATCGTGCGTATGCTTTCCGTCAAAGTATTCTGAGAAGTGCGAGTAGAAACTTGTGCTAATCTCGGTGTCGTCGTCGAGGAGGGCGCCCTGCAATTCATTCGTCTAGTGCCCTTTTGTCAATACCACTTATCGATATCTTACCTTTGCGATCTCCCAATCCATGAAGCCAGATAGGTTTTGCTCCTTGGTCCAAGGGTCGTTCCACAGCCTTCGCTTGTTCTCATCAAAGTTGAAATGAACTGCTGGATCATATGTTCGAGAGATGCTATGTCCATAGTGTCGACGACATTTCTTTTGTCTGACCATGGAACCCTCAACGCCTCGCAACACGGCACCGCAAACAACAGCTGCCCAACTAGATATCTGTCAGTCACGGCTGGATGTCTCCTGTGAAGGGGGCACTTACGCTCCTGTCCATGGTGTTGTGAGCCGTATCTCTTGCTCAGAGCACCATTCAAGTAACCTCTCCTTGACATAAGGCGACGAGCCAAACCCACCAACTAGACACATCGTCTTGATTATTGGCTCCTTGTCTCTCTTGACCTGATCAACCTGATCCTTCACAAGCTTGAGAATGACGTCAATCACGGGGTCAAAAAGACTCTTCATATCATCTTTGCTAAGGAGAACCCAGTTGAAGTCGGGGTCATAGTACTTCTGCATCTCCTGAGTGACTACCAGGTTTCGCATTGGTAGAGTTAGCTTATAAGACTTCCTGCTCGGTGTATCGAGGCTGAAATCTCTTTTGCGATTCTCAAACTGGTCCATGAACTGACTGCCTGGGCCTACGTGCTGTGGACCTAGGCTGGTGAATGCAGTTCCGAAGCGTTTGGCGAGGAGCTTGTAGAGATTGCGGTCGACGAATGTCCCGCCGCACTTACCACCTGAGAGTGTGAGCATGACGGTTTCATTTGTGATTGAGGACTGTTTTACCTGCTCCGATGGCAATCTCCCTCAGCTTTAGAGAAGGTGATTTTCTGACTATCTCAGATGTTGTAATATCCTAGCCTTGTTAGCAAGATAAAAGGCCTCGAGTGGAGTTGAACTTACGACAGTACCACCGCCAAGATCGCAAACCATCACGCCCGTGCCGACCTAAGCGCAGTGTAAGTATGGGCTCAAAAGTGAGACGGCGCTGCCTACATCAATGAGATCTTCAACGTGATGAATGCTGGACTTCAAAGCCATATGCGCAGCAGCATCAGGTTCTGTAATCAAGCTCAATCGATCAATGGGTCTTGATGCAAACCCAGCGTCCAAAGCAGCAGCCCGAGTAATCAGCTTTGCTCTCTCCGTCCAAGTCGCTGGAACAGTCAACCAAAAGTCAACAGGCATCTCCTCAAGGATATCCTCCCCAATCTTCTCAATAACAGCTTTTCTATACATAGAATGCATACCCTTCAGGTACTCAGTGACCACGTCTTTTGCAGTTCTGCCAGCGGGTAATCTCATGAGTCCATTTCCAGCGGCCTTGTTAAGATCTGGATCATCATACTCCGTCGCAAGTGCTTGATCATCTAAGAGGAGTTTGGTCCATGCGTAAGTCTTCATACCAGGTTCGATTTGATAGCCCCATGCGTTCTCATCGAGATCGGGATTCTCATCTCTGAATGCGACCCATGATGGAGCTTTGTGGCAGTGTTCTGCGATGTGAGTTGATGAGCCGGGATATTTGGTCCATGGGTGAATGTCTTTGAAGTCTGCCGCATTAGAGAGCGCAAAACTGAGACCTGGGTTTAAGAAGATCAGCCACAGGAGTTCGTCATTGGATTGCAGTGTACTGACCTGAATACGTTGTACCGTAGTCAATACCGACTATCAGCTTCGTCCTATTTCTTACAGCCAACATGATTGATGAGCGTATTCCTGCCTGTGACCTTAATTTCGACGCGGAAAAGAACAGTAGCTCACTTTAATGAGGCTCTGACATCTTATGGAACGATTTACATCATGTTCAAATGGCCACCGGTCCTGGGCGACAGCTTAAACAGTTCGCCGAGTTTGCGGCTGATCTCAGTGCGCCTTACAGGGGTGGTTGAAATGCACGGGCGTTTTGCCGTGTGTACTGGCGTTTTGTCGCGGGGCTCGGCCTTGCATATGCAGCCACTATCACGGCTGAAAAGACTAAGGTTTACAGGGAGGGTAATGGAGGGAGGGAGAGCCAAAGCTGCCAAACCACTGATTTCCTGCGGGGGACGTCCATTTCTGGTTATAAATAGTGCTTTTGTTAATCGAGTCGGGGGCGATCGTATCGACACGCAATTCGACCAATACAGCCTTTTGACAGCATTGCAATGGGCGGAGAATCCGAGCAACGACGTGTAGAGGATGGCCCTGGTGGAGCAGCTCTGAAGGATATCGGTGACCAACTCCAACCAAGAAGTGAGGACGAGGGACCATATGAGGAGGTATGCAGTTTCGGATTCGCAGTATTCTTTTTACTAACCTTGCAACAGCAGAGATACTCCAAGATCGATGACAAGAGGCCAAAATATCATCTTTCAGAAGACTCGATCATGTCTGACGTCGTTGAAACGGTGAAAGCTTCTAATCCTCACACAAAGGTAAGAATAAGTAATACATCGTTTATTCTAGCTATAAACTGACAAGTTCTTAAGCAAAACCCAGGGGTGATTGGGCGCATCACCCAGTCTCTGAACCCATTCGGTCCTTCAGAGCCTTCTACAATTCCCGAGAAGGTGACTAAGAAGCAGCCGAGCCACAAATCGGAAACCTCAAGAGAAGTCAAACTTCAAAAAGAAGTAACCCAATTGCGAATTGATAAGATTGCTCTGAGCACAAGTCTCAAGGACTTAACAATCAAGTTCAATTCGCAAACCAATGACCTTGATGGCAAAAAGCACTTGATCAAGCAATGGGAAGACTGGAAAGTCAAGTCCGACGAGCACTGGCGCAAACGAGGGGAGGAACACAGAAAAACGAAAGACGCTTACGATCGCTTATTCCATGATTATAATAAGCTTAAGCGGACAAAGGCAGATCTTGAAACCGAGCTTGAAGAGGAGAGAGATGTGAACAAGACTTTAAGACAAGATATCCAGAACCAAGAGGTCGTGGTTACTGAGGCGCATTCGAGGGCCATATCACTACTGGCTGGCCATGTCTCAAGCGATTTCCCTGATGATCAGGTTCGAACTGAACTGGGAGATCTGTTTGAGAAGTGCTCTGAGTGGTGTATAGACAATCGCTTGCCGCTGATCGAAAAGGTCGAAGATACCCGAAATTTGCTGCTTACTGAAGATATCATCAACGATCTAGATTGCGAGGAGCATCTACGATTCGACCTTATGCACAGAACATCTACAGCTGTACTGCTACAGGCTGCACTAACGAAGACGCTCATGCAGACCTTTCTTGGAAACCCATTCTTCCTTGGCCAACACTGTTTGAACAAAACAGCCCTGCAAGGAGGTTTGTACACTTCACTATCCCAGGCAACAAGGCAAACTGACACAACCTCAGGCGCAAGCGAAGAAGCCACAGTGACGTGGAGGATCCAGACGTGTCAATACCTAGAGCAAGCATTCCCCCCACACAACCAAGCACTGCAAACATGTGCCGAGGGTTTCGCAAGGACTTACGAACCCCTCATCGAGCCCCTCGACAGAGAAAGCCTCACGCAGCTTACCAAGCTCTTCGAGACCACATGCAGCCTTGCGCTCAGACTCTGGAAGCTAAGAACCAATATCCGCATCGAAGCGCTAGGCGATGCAACCCTCCACCGGTTCCAGAGCATGTTCGGCGACATGGAGGCGCATCCAACAGTCGGTCTCTTGAAAGGTGATAAGCGGTTCGACGGTCGCCCGATTTGTGTAGTGGTGCGCCCGCGGATTGTCTCGGAGCCAGTGGAATCTGAGAATCGTGGGCGAGGCATTGTCTGGTCGCCTGCGCAGGTTTGGGTGTCTAATTGGGAGGATGCAGGGTATTAGTGGATGGTGGCGCGGGACTAGTGGTTGATATCGCGTTTTGGGTGTTCAGCTTGAAATGCAGGTTTTGCTGTAGCGTGGAGGTTGAAATAGAACGGCGGTCGTTTTGTAAAGCTAGTGCTTATCGTTAACGAGTAGAGTGTGCATTGCCCCTCATGCGATGTTAAGCTTGATTTTGAGTGTTACAGTACCGGATATGTCGGCATGAAGTGATTGCGTCTGGTCTGCCTTGTTGTATTTATCAAGAGACATTCTCTTGCTTTTCAGTCTAGACTGGAAGCTGTAAATTAGTGTACTACACTTATTGACATCCCTGTAAGCTTCCATCATGACCAAAGTTGCGCATTCTTTGTCAGAAGCCCCGTCGGTGGGAACGGACACGTCGGTCAGCGATGAGTCGGAAAGCACTCCGCCCGTACTGTTGATTGCGGTTATGGGAGTTACTGGCTCTGGCAAGAGTAACTTTCTTCGGCTCCTGACTGGCAGAGACGATGAAGACGGGCCCCAAGTCGGGCATTCACTTGGGTCATGTAAGTCAACATTGGGCTTGGTGAATGATGAGCGAATATTGACCCGTTAACAGGCACCCAGAAGACGGAAGCCTACGAGTGTCTCATCCAGGGTCAGCAGTTTGTCTTTTTTGACACGCCTGGCTTCGATGACACGTACCGAGGCGATGCAGACATTCTTGCTGATGTCGCCCAAGCCCTCAGCTCCTCATACATGAACAATGTCAAGCTCAGTGGGATCATTTACCTGCACCGCATCAAAGATGAGAGAATGACAAATGCCATCATGCGAAACCTCACCATGTTTCGCAATCTTTGCGGTGACGGTGCTTTTGAGAATGTCATCCTTGCGACTACTTTCTGGGACGAGCTACAGGACGAGTCGAAGGGAGCAGCTAGAGAACATGAGCTGATCTCAACTCCTGAGTGGTGGGGGTATATGAGCAACAAAGGGTCGAGAATTCGACGATTCCAGAACACAAGAGAGTCTGCCCTTGAGATTGTCAACGAGCTAGTTGATCTCCCCGCCGTAACTCTGCAGATCCAAGAAGAGATCGTAGAGCAAGGTCTAGGAGTCGACCAAACAACAGCAGGCGAAGCTCTCAACGAAGAACTCAACAAGCTACGAGAGCAACACCAAGCCCAACTCAACTCCATCCGCGAAGAAAAAGAACAAGCCATCAAAGACCGTGACGTGCAACTCGAGAAAATGCTCGACAAGCTCGAGCAAGAAAAACAACAATTCATGCGCCGTCTCGAAAGCGAGCAAGCAGCCCTCCACGCCGACCGCCGCGAACAGCAGCGCCGCATGGAACAAGCCTTCAACGACCAACTCATCCGCCTCGAGCGCGAACGCAAGGCAAGAGAAGCCAAGATCCAAGACCTGGAAACCCGACTAAGTACCGAGCGCGCAGATGCCAACGAGCGATTTCAAGCTGCTATGGCAGAATCGAACCGCATGGTCAGCGCGCTGAAGCTCGAGATGGAGACGGCGCGGGCGGAGGATCGGGCGGAGTATGATGAGACGATTAGGAAGATTGAGGA